AAACAAAAACAAATAGAAGTTCACTCCATGGTAACAAATAACCCTGCTGATTTATTAGAAGAAAGGTATTTTGCTACAAAGCAATACACAGCCCATGCAGCCTATTGGAAGGGAGGGAGAATATTCTAGGCTCCGGTTAGGGGGCACTGCCCATAAAGAATGGGTTTGTGCAGACAGGTAGGGATTGGACAAAGGGGAAGGGGGCACTGAAAGGGAGAGAGGACACATGAACAAGCGTTCTCCCTCGGCACCTGCCAGTCCCCTCGCCTCCCCACACTCACAGGAATAAAAATAAAACTAATCCCCTTCACTCATCCAAGCATTTTCTCTCTGGCCTCTGGCTGATGGGTCTGTAATCCCTACACAATCCCTGTCCTCTCATCTCAGCTCTGCTTCCCATCTGCTCACAGCAAAACAGCTACCCCGGGAATGAACCCCCCAGGGAGAGAGAGGAGCTGGGGAAGAAACCACTGGCTAGGTAGAAATCCTATCACTGAAGGATGGGGTCTCAATGAAGAGATTCTCAAGTCGGGATGCTAAGATTTGGTTATGCTCCAAAGCACCTGGCACATAGTAGGGGCTCGATATATGTTTACAGAATGAATTCCGTTTTATAGGGAAGTTCAAAATAGATCCAGAGACATGGAAGTAGGGAACAAACTGACAAACCTCAGAGGGAAGGAGGTGGGGGGATTGGAAAGAGATAAACCAAACAATGTATATGCATATATGCATAACCAATGGACACAGACAATAGTGTGGTGAAGGGAGGGTGGGGGGGGGAGAAGCGGGGGACATCTGTAATACTTTTAACAATAAAGATGAAAGAAAGAAAAAGAAAGAAAGAAAGAAAGAAAGAAAGAAAGAAAGAAAGAAAGAAAGAAAGAAAGAAAGAAAGAAAGAGAGAGAGAAGTTCCGCTCTGTGTTTCTGTGGGGCTATACTATCACCATTATCCTGAGCAACTCTGATCCCGCAGATACCCCAGAACTTAAAATGGGGAAGGAGGCCAAAGACAAGCCCTTTAGGAAACAAGACAGAACAGAAAGAGCAAAAAGTTAGACTGGCCTTTCGAGCCCCAGGTGGTTGATTTCACTGGGTGCTGGCCTTGAAGGGAGAGTACATCCCAAGTCATTTCTAGTCCTCCAAAGATCAATCTCCAACAGAGTCCAAAGTCCTTGACCTCTATTCCATACATCACTAGCTTCTCTATTATCATCATCTACCTTCCAATTGGGTCTTTTCATAAAATACAGCCCTTTGTTTACCCTATATGACCCATTTACTCTTTTTTTTTTTATCCTCAACCGAGGACATTTTTGCATTTATCATCAGATAGAGCGGGAGGGAGAAAGGGGGGAAGAGGCGAGAGAAACATCAATGTGAGAGAGACATATCGACTGTTTGCCAACCACAGGACCCCAACCGGGGCCGGGGACAAACTGTAACCCGAGGTACATGCCCCTAGCAGGAACCAAACCTAGGACTCTCAGGTCCGCGAGCCAATGTTCTAACCGCTGAGCCAAACCAGCCAGGGCTGACCCATTTACTCTTTAAGACCGGGACTTTATGTAATAATTCTGGCTAACATAATGCCCAGCAGGATGGGGTCAAAAAGAATGAGGATGGGTGTGCCCACCACACAGAAGTCAAAGAGCACTGATCCTAGTGTATATGTGGGACACCCAGCAATGGGAGAGTAGTTGAGAAAATTCAGGATCCTTGCCTTACTTGGGAGACTCTATTTCCTCTGAAGACATTAGACTTGATTAGGGACCTGAGCTCAAGCATCATTTCTGGGAAGCGCCCCACTTCCTAATGCCCTGTCCCCATCTCCCACAGAGTATTCCTGCAGTTGCTTCTATCACAAGGATAATATCACTGTGCCTGTTTCTTGTGTCTCCCTATCTGACCGGGGACTTCCTAAGACCCAGGAAAATGTGTTAATCACCATTACACCCTAGCCCCATTCCAGAGGGCTTGGCACATAGTAGGTGCTTAGTAAATGTTTGCTGAACAAAAAGAGGCCAGGCAAGAGGTTCCTGGACAGGAACTGTCTGCACTCAGCAGATCCAAAGTTCAGCTACTGAGAAATCAGCAGGACCCGCCTTGTGAGATAGGCTAGGTGTAGGCACTGCACATTCCTGGCCAGTCTGTCCTAGACCCTAAAGAAGGTGACTGCTGAGAAAGCCCACCAGGAGAAGTCGTGCAAGCGATAAGTTAGGTCTTGTGACCCCGGCCTCGGGAGGGTGTACCCTGCAGTGTGGATGCTGCTCCCAGCAGGTCAAGTTTGAGGAGCTCACATTGAGTGTGGTGGGTGATTATCTGATTTTATCCTCCTAATGACCCTAGGGGAAAGGTACAATGATCCACTTTACTACGGTGCAACTCTGAGATCTCAGTCCTATGGACTCCAGAGCCTAACAGGTGCTTAGCACAAGTTCACAAGGAAACATTTTACACAACCACACATCCTCAGGGTGGATGGAGGCCTTAAATCTCCTGATTTGCCTCCTCCCCTTCACAGGTGCTCAAATCCCTACAACATGCAATGTTCCAACAAATCCTTGCCTCCTCCCTCCCATGCTTGAGGGTTCCCAACCTCTCCAGCCAGCCTAGCTGATCCTTGGCAGCTCTGACCACTAAAAATGCTTTCATGCAGAATCCTAGTTTCTACCCAATCAACTTCATATCTCCTCCCTGTATCTACACAGAGCAAACCTACTCTTCTGCACATGACAGTCCTCCAGCTCTCTGGAGACGGTTATCAGCTCGCCTCCCCCAGGGTTTAGAAAGATGCCTCAGAAAGAGATTGCACAGGCCGCTCAGTGTGAAACTGGTTTCATGAAGCTTAACAAATGCCTTTCCTTGATAAAGGAAATCAGAGAGAGAGAAGATGGTTATCTTGTGGCAATGAGAGCTGCGTCTCTCCTAGGGGAAGTGGGGGGGGGGGTGGAGAGAGGAACTGGACTAGAAACCAAAATTTATATAAACCTTAACAAAGTCTTCATGGAAAACATTAATATTGCCGAAGGGGCTTCTGAGGTCAAGCAAACTTTTTGTTTTACATGGGAGGAACAAAGATTCAGAGAGGGAAGGTGACACAAAGGAACAGCTAAGTGGCAGGGCCACAGTTAGAACCCTTTGAACCTGCAGCCCAGTCCCACCCATGTCCCTGCTCCAAAACACTAGAGCACCTGTGATTTCAGAACTGCACTCCCATAATAACTGTACTCCCGTAATAGCGGCACCGGCTAGTCTCACTTTCACCACCACCCCAAGAGGTAAAGGGAGGAAACAGAGTTAGCTCCACGTTACAGGGAGGAATAAGGAAGCTTGAATTTATACTTGAAATTTAAAGTTCGATGAAGGCTCTTGGCAGCTTGTTGACAATGGCTATTGAAAGAGGTTATGGGGTATCTTCCCCTGGAAATGGAACCCTAACTAAGTAAGGGAAGGGAGCCACCTCTGCCTGCTGTTCAGTTTGCACGCTTTTATGACGGCCGGGTGTACTGACCAGGGAAGACCTTCAAAACCATGCTCCTCTTCCCTTTCTGCCTCCCCAATGTGCTTCAGAGAAAGAGCACCGTGGAGGGTCACCAGCTGTGGCCTGCAGCATCCCTCCTATTTAGCCTGAGCTCTAGTCTCCTCACCTACAAAAATAGGGGCAGTACATTCTACCCTGTTGGTAACTGTTGTGAGACTCAGGTGACAGAGAGCAGGTAGGAGGCAGGGAAGCTCACTCTGGCAACTGTCCCTTCCCTTCTCTCACTTCCTCATTGACCTGCTCCTCTGCCGCCCTGCTACCCTCAGCAGGTGAAAAGTCATGAAGGTCTCATCCACGATAAGGGAGGAGAAAGAAAAACAATTGTGACATCATCCTACTAGTTTCTCTCACCTGTATGAGGTCCTTACTCTTCCAGAGAGCTGTACAGTTAGTAGCATTATATTTACCATTTATTCATACCCTATGTGCCATGCACCACACAGGGCTCTGCGTGCTCTCTTGGGGTTAGTACTCACAACCACCCATTTTACAGACGTCAACCCTCTGACTCAGAGGTTAAAGGATAGGTAGCTAGTACTTCTGCACTTCTAACAAGCTCCCAAGTAGATGGACTACGTTGTGTCAAGGGCTAGATTTTAAATTCCATTAAGGCAGAGCCTGTGCCCAGGGCTTAGCACTGGACCTGCCCCTAAACTGCACTCAATAATTATGTGTTGAATGAGTCAGTGAATATTTGACTCAAAAACCTATTATGCTTTAACACTTCTCCATATTAAATCTCATTATGTCGTTTGATCTCATAACAGATCTCTAAGGCATGATCATCCCCATTTGACAGATAAGGACATAGAGGCTCCTGGAAAGAGTAAATAGTCTAATAGCCTTTGTGCGGCAGGGCTGGAGGCCGGCTACCCTCAGAACCTTTGGCCGACCACAGCTGTCCTGAGGATGCTGGGGAAAATTAATAATTATAGACCACCGGCTGACAAGGAGCTGGACCCATGCCCGCACGTAACCAGCTCCAGCCCTGGAGATCGCCCAGGAGCCGTGAGCTGCTCTCGGGGTAGGGGGCCGTCAGGCTCCGCGACCCCCAGAAGGGAAACAGGGAGGGCAGGAAGAGGCCAGTCGGGGGCGTAGTGCCAGGAAACAGCGGGCAGGCGGTGACCTCGGACCTCCCAGGGAGCTCGTTCAGGCACAAGCACTGCCCGAGGATCCCGGCTCCGGACTGACACTGTCCAGCTTGAAGGGGTAGAAGAGGGAGGGGGAGGCTGGAGGAATCCAGGGAAATCGCAGTCCGGCGATGAATCACCGGCACATGACCCCGGTGGGGAAGGGAGGGGAGGGACGGCGCAGGAGGCGGCTGGGGCGTGTGGAGGGCAGGCCTCGCGCCCGACCCCTCTCAGCCTGGACTTGGGGAGAGAAGGGAAGTTCCTCTCCCGCGCAGCTCCACCCTCAGAAGCCCCGGCCCGCCGGGTTCGGGGCGACGGGACTCACGGCCTTCAGCTGCTCCAGCCGGTCCTTCATCCTGGTGCCCAGGCGCCCCGAGGCAGGTGAGCGCGTCCCAGGTGAGCGCGTCCAGGTGAGCGGCCGGAAGCGGCGACCGGGCCGGACCCGGGCTAGGGCGCTGGCGGCGGCGGCGGCGGCCGGCTAGGAGGAGCGTCCGAGACCACGGGAGGCTCCGCCGCGCCGCCCCCTCCGGCCCCGCCGGCACCGCGCGCTCCAAATCCGGCTCCCGGACGAGCGGCGGCGCGCGGCGCTGATCCGCCCGCGGACCCGCCCCTTACCTGGGCCGCGCCCCGCGCTCCTCCTTAAAGGGGCCGAGCCCAGCCGCCCGGCCACTCTCCGCTACTAACTCCACCTGCCCTCGCTCCTCGTCCCTCTGGGCAGCGGAGAAGGCTGGGAAAGAAAACTGAGCGCGCGTAGATCCCGCCGCAGGGCCGAGGAAGAGCAAGTGGGTCCGTGGGACCTCAGGTCCTTCCTCTTCACTTGACAGCCATTCGCTGCGGAGCAGGCTCCGTGTCAGGTTCCAGCCCTCAACAGACTCCTGGTCCGGGGCGGGGACAAAGCACCACAGACAATGAACTTTAACACAGTGTGGCATGTGACTTGTGCTAGAATGAGCGGGGGAGAGAGCAACTAATGTCACCTGGGGGAAAGGCCATCTCAGTGGATTTGCACAGCCGACAGAGGGTGGTCCTAGAGGAAGTAACTGGAAGTGCGCGGGACAGGACAGGCGGAACGAAGAATTCGGATTCCGTGATGGTGGCAGTCGGGACCCTTCCGAGATATGTGAAGTAGTTCGATGTCGAAGTCAGAACGCTTGCTACTAACCATTTGCGTGACTGGGAAATCACCGTTTCTCTAGGGGGCTGTTTCCGGATCCATAAATCAGAGATAGTACCCACTTCACAGTTCGGTGTGAGGCCTGTGTGACAGAGGACTGACTGACTGGTCACGTGTAGAGCAGGATTGTAAGTAAAGATATTTACACTGGAAAGCGTAAGCCGTTCTCATTTCCTGCCTGGTGTAGACGTTCCCAGGTGAGTTGTACCTTCTGAAAGGGGGGCGGGTTCTTCGCACTGCCCCGCCTCCCCCCCTTCTTCCCCCCACCCTGTCTTCTCTCTTCCTTATTTGTCCTCCTTCTTGGGAACAAATGACATACCCAGCAAGACATACCCAGCAAGAAGAGTGGCTGTCAATAAATGCGGCTGGCAGTCGGAAGATTCAGTTCTCAAGTCAAGAAAAGAATCTGCTCTATGCATTCAGGTTAGAGGGCTGTAATATTTTTCGTAATTCTAATAGAACTTTGCCCTCTTCTGCGGTCTCAGCGCGTGCCCCATGCTGACTTCATCGCCTCCCCTAAAGATACAAACAGTCGGTGAGCAGCCGGGCTGTGGGAACTCGGCCATTCTCAGCCCTAGTCCTCCGTCTTTAGCCCTAAACACTTTCTTCTACCCAGGCGTTAGCTAGGTGGTTTCCCACCTGTAGAAAATGCTTTCTACGCCCCCTGGTGGTCATACACAGAAAAAGAGTAAATCAGAAACAGATACCACCTTCACTTATCAAATCTTCCTTGGGATAGCTAGGTGCCGGCGCCTCAGGAAAAGTGGGTCTCCTGACTCCAGACACAAAGAGTTTTGCCATAAAACAGCTGTCACTTAACATCACACAATATATTTTCTCATCTTTCAAGTATAAGAGCTGATCAAAACTAATGATTCCCACTCTTCAAGGTAAAAAATATATCATGTATTCTTTATTTTCATTTGTGGGTCTCTCATTTTGAAAGATTCTATATCCCTAACAAAATATACTTACTGTGTAATAAGCCATTTTGTTTCCTCAAACCACAGACTGGTGGTTGGTGGGAAGGAGTAATATGGGTGAAGGTGGTCAAAAGGTACAAACTTTCAGTTATTGGATAAATAAGTTCTGGGGTGTAATGCACAAGCATGTTGACTATAGTTAACAATACTGTACTGTATATTTAGAAGATGCTAAAAGTAAAGGTTCTCATAAGAAAAGAATTGTTGTGTAATAGAGGGAGATGGCGGCGGGCAGGACCGGAGGTAGGGTGAGTGTGCGAGAGAGTGAGCAAGTGTGTGAGAGAGTGTGAGTGGACATGAAGGTGGATGACCAAACCCGAGCAGTGCAGAGACGCAGAGCAGAAGGTTCCTGTGCTGTGGACAGGAGCAGCCGGCTACTGCAGTGAGCGTCCCTTCAGGGTGCTTCTCCCTGTGCCATGGGGAGGTCCCACCATTTTGGAAGATCCCGGGTCTTCCCTGGGAGGAGGCCGTGGGAGCGGCTAGGGCCCAGCAACCTGAGCCCACCAGTGCACCTGGCACCATCGGACCAGTAGACACTCTGTGTCAACACAGACCGGTGCATAGAGTGGAGCTCCCAAGGTGCTGGTCACAGAAGCCACAGACGGCCCAGAGCCCAGCACCATCCCCCATAGTAGCAGCCTGATCAGAGTTGAGATATACCCCCAGCAACAGAGGCTGGGGAGCAGACATCCATCCCCAGGCAGCAGAAGCACAGACCAGCAGCTGAGACCCATCCCCCAAAACTAGAGCAAAACCTGAGCAAGAGTTGAGCCCCACAGGGCAGCAGCAGAACCTGGGGCTTCACAGAGGCCTGTGTGGTCCAGTAGCCCACAAGAGCAGTGGGAAGCCGGAGCCCAAGAGAGACTGGTGGGATCCAGCTGCCCGCACACGGAATCTGCAGGGTGCAGGGGCAGGGACTATGTGATCTAGTTACCCGCAGGACCTGCAGGGTGAGGGGGCACCAGAGAGGCCTGTGTGACCCAGCAGGGACTGTGCGATCTAGTTACCTGCTGGACCTGCAGGGTGCTGAAGTACCAGAGAGGCCTGTGCGATCCAGCAGGGACTGTGCGATCTAATAACCCACTGGACCTATGGGGTGCAGAAGCAACAGAGAGGAATGTGCAACCCAGCAGGCACTGTGCCATCCAGTTATCTGTGGGACCTGCAGGGTGCTGAAGCACCAGAGAGGCCTGTGTGACCCAGCAGCCCATAACATAGGCATAGAGCCAGGCCCCCAAAGGAACTGTGCAATCCCGTTACTCACGGGACCTGCAGGGTGCGGGGGCACCAGAAAAACCTGTGCAATCCAGCTGCACACAAGATAGGCATGGAGGATGTGAAAATGAAGGCAGAGTGAATAGAAGCTACTCAGACAATCTCCCAGGACCAAACAGGAATTACAACTAAAAAGACAAATCCTTGGAAAAAAGCACCAGGAAAGCAGCAGGACAGGACCATATAACCAGGGACACAGGTAGGATCTGTGGAGGCGTGAGAGGATGGTGGGCTGGGAGCCCACAGACAGCAGCAGTCTTAACTGTGAACAGTGCCCTTGGGGAATAAATACCAAGCCCACTCAACAGTGCAAAGAGCCGGGACAGAGCACTAAAATAGCCACAGCCACTCACCTGGAGGCTACAGCAGAGGGAGGGCAGACTGGGCTGGAACTCTGTGGGGACACCTGAGATTTGGAGGGCACTCAGAGTTTTTGCTGAGTTGCAGCCACAAAGAACAGTGGCCAGTGTGCTCCTTCCCCAAGCTGTGGGGAAAAGCAGCACCCCCCCACCCCACCCCACCCCACCCCAGCCCGCCTCAGAGATTCAGCCTTTCCCAGGTGAGGCATAAAAATGCAAATTGAGGCTCATTAACAACCAGCATCTATCCCACCCTCTGGAAATCCTCTTATGCAGAACACCAGGGCTACATTCCAAGACACTGAGTAACTGAGACAACTAGCCTCTAGGAAAAAGCTAGAGGATAACTGAACCTTTCCTGGGCTTGCAAATCTACCCAGGAAAGTAAGACTTGACAGTGGTGTTTAACGTGGGCCCACCCAGGCCCATCCAAACCCAGTAGAGGGAGCCACAAACAGCAGAACACCAACACCCACAGGAAAAATTTGGCAGGCTCCAAAACCCACTGAGATAGCCAAAATGGAGAAACAAAGAAACAAATCCCAAATGAAAGAACAAGAGAACTCTATCGAAGATGAGATAAATGAAATGCAGCTAAGCAACTTATCAGAGGTAGAGTACAGAGCCATAATATTGAGGAAGCTCAACAGCATGAGTGAGGACATCAGCACCATGAGTAAAGATATAGAAACACTGAAAACCAACCAAGTGGAAATGAAGAATGTTATAGCAGAAATTAAGAACACATTGGAAGGACTAACCAGCAGAGTAGAGGAAGCTGAGGACTGGATCAGTGAATTAGAAGACAGGGTAGAAAAAATCAACCAATCAGAAAACCAAAAGGAAAAAAACAATTAAAAAACAGGAAGACAGCTTAAGAGAACTGTGGGACAACTGGAAACGTAATAACATTCACATCATAGGAGTCCCTGAAGAAAGAGAAAATGGCCAAGGGTTAGAGAATATATTTGAAGAAATAGTGACAGAAAACTTTCATAACTTGGTGAAGGAAGAAGGCATTCAAGTTCAAGAAGTACAGAGAGCCCTGGCCGGTTTTCTCAGTGGTTAGAGCATCAGCCTGTGGTCCAGAGAGACACAGTTTCAGTTCCCATTAAGGGCATGTATCTAGGTTGCAGTTTGTCCCCAGCCTGGTTGGTCATGTGGGTGGCAGCCACTCAATGTGTCCCTTTCATGTCAATGTTTTTCTCTCTCTTCCTCTCTCTCCCTCCCACTCTATCTGAACAAAAAATGGAAAAATGTCCTCGAGTGAGGATGAAAAAAAAAAACAAAAAGCACAGAGTGCCCCAAGTAAGAAGAACCCAAACAGGCCCACACCAAGACACATAGTAATTAAAATGCCAAAAATTAAAGACAAAGAGAGAATTCTAAAGGCAGCAAGAGATAAGCAACAGGTTACCTACAAAGGAAACCCCATAAGGCTCTCAGCTGACTTCTCACAAGAAACACTACAGGCCAGAAGAGAGTGGCATGAAGTAATCAAGGTCATGAAAAACAAGGATCTGAAACCAAGACTACTCTATCCAGCAAGGCTATCATTCAAAATAGAAGGTCAAATAAAGAGCTTCCCAGACAAAAAAGGGATAAGGGAATATATTAACACCAAACCAGCACTGCAAGATATGCTAAAAGGACTGCTGTAATTAGTAGAAGAAATAGGAAGAAAAATATAACCACACTAAACAAAAATGGCAATAAATAAGTACATATCAATAATCACCTTAAATGTGAATGGCTTGAATGCTCCGATAAAAAGATACAGAGTAGCTGACTGGCTAAGAAAGCATGACTCATCTATGTTGTTTACAAGAGATCCACCTCACAACAAACGATTCACATAGGTTGAAAGTGAAGGAATGGAAAAAATCTTTCAAGCAAACAGAAAGCAAAAACAACAACAACAACAACAACAAACTGGGGTAGCAATACTCATATCTGATCAAATAGATTTCAAAATGAAAGCCATACAAGAACAGGCATATAGAGCAGTGGAACAGAACAGTGAACCCAGAAATGGACCCAAGGCAATATGCTCAATTAATATTTGACAAAGATGGCAAGAGCGTACAGTGGAGAAAAGACAGCCTCTTTAATAAATGGTGTTGGGAAAATTGGACAGCTACATGCAAAAAAATGACTAGACCATTAACTTACACCATACATAAGAATACACTCAAAATGGATAAAAGACTTAAATATGACTCATGAATCCATAAAAATCCTAGAAGAAACTGTAGGCAACAAAATTTCAGACATCATACACAGCA